TAAAGCCAGGACATGGAGCAGGGACTCTAGGGACCCAGATCTTTGCCACTGGCTTCCTGTGTGACCTTGGGCACATTACTCTGCCTCCTTTTCCCCACCCTGGCTCTTCTCTGTGAAAATATCTGGGCCTGGGGCTGCTGTCTGTGTGCCCATACGCAGAATAATGTAGTTCTTGTTGGAGGCATCAAAGCGATGTTACTGAGACACCTTGGTTACATGATGTTAGAGCATTATTCTAATATTATAAAAGCCTTAGTCTGTCTGTCTGTCTGTAACGCTTTATTCACACTCTGATTGGCTGTCTTGGCAAGAACCGAACGGGAGGGGAGGTGGAGGGAGGATAGGGGAGGGGGCAGTTCCTGTTAGCCGCAGCCACCACCCCGCTGCCGCCACCCTGCGACCACAGCCGCCGTATTGGGCCTGCACCCACAGCTGTCTGCTGCCGTGCCCGGGCCCATGGTCACCGCGGGGCCATTAGGTGTGGGGCAGCGGTGGCATGGGCACAGCGGAGGCAGTGGAGGGGAGTGGGCCCAGACCCAAAGCTGCAGGGGATGGGGAGGGGGAACAGGATGGGGCTTAAGGATGGCCCTGACGCTCCCTGGTGGTTACCTTAATCCTGCCTCACTCTTAATGCTTTAATATGTTGCTCAGCTAAAATGTAATGATGTTTTTGTCAGTGATCTTTGGGTCTTTAGGGGCTTCATCCCTCTTGGCTTTAGCCCATCGTTGTTCTGGCTGCAGGCCTCCAGCCCTGGCCTGCTTGTTCTGGCTTGATTTTCTTGGCCTGCACCTTCCCTGTATCTCAGTTCCTGGTTCCCCAGCTCTGTCCCAGGGTTTGTTCCAGCCCCTTGGGGTCCCAGACCCTGGCAAGTAGCTCACAATTTATCCTAGCTCCCTGGCATCCCTGACCCAGGTGATGCTGCTGACAGGTGGGTCCAGCCAGCCCCCACCCAGCATCCCTGGACAAGGTAAGGCTGTTCTCAGTCTATCCCAGCCCCTGCCCACCCCCAGGCATCTTTGACCCAGGGCAAAGCTACTCCCCATGTAACCCAGCCCCCTGGCACCCCTGGCCCAGAACAAGGCTGCTTTTGCTTTGTCAGCCCCTAGCCCTTGAACTAGGCTAAGCCCCTTGAGTACCTGCCTCTGCAGAGACACCATCTCCTGCCTCTAAACTGATTGTCTTTAGCCTCATGCAGCCTCCTGGATCCCAGATCTGGGAAGGTCTTTATTTGGGCTTCAGGCTCCCCTACTGTGGGGTACTTTTCATGTACCTCCACCTGTGGCCTCCACACCGCCCCCACCAGCTGCACCCATTCCTCTGTGCCAGCTCCCATGCACTCATCAGCCCCTGTTACCAGACTTAATGCTAGGCTTTAGGTAATGGCACTGAATTCATAAATGCTTGAACAAGAATAGTCTGCTCCTTGAAGAGAGCATTTATTGAGCATAGCAATTTGCAATTTTAAGTATGCGACAAGAAACAGAAAAAAAAACAACTCTGCCTAAGCTAAGACACAGGCGAATAAGACACGGCGACAACACACAACTTAATCTAACTTAAAATACAATCTAATAAGCTAAAAAGACAACAGAAAGCCTTGCATGGAGCTTACGTGTCCTAAGGGCAGCGTAGCTCCTTGCAGCCAGATATTCAGCAGGTCTTTCTAGGAGATCCACGGGTCTGCTTCGGTGGTGAAGGCAGTCCCACAGGCCTCGTCTTTGCCTGCGTTTTTATAGGGATCTGCACCCCCTTCTCCCCCTTGGTCCCTCACATGTCCCATGTCTCTCATGCATTCAGCATCTCTGTCTCTTGCTGGTTCTTAAGTATTTCAGGCTCTCATCCCTTACAGGTTTTACTTGAAATGCAGATGTAGTCCCCTGCCTTCTTCCCCTCCCCTGCTACCTCACGTCACACGCTTAACATCTGTCACGGTAGCTTCAGCCCACACTTGTGATGACTGTGTCAGGTCTTTGCCAACAGCCCCCTCCAGGGTCTCTCAGGGTCCCAGCAACTCCGACCCCATAGCCACCAGCTCTTGCAGCTTCCCCCAAAACCAGTGTTGCCACCCAGGCCATCGGGTAACCCACTCCCAGCAAGAGTCGGGGCCAAACTGAGCTCCGTGGCTGAGGGATTTCAAAGTGGATTGTGAATATGACTCCTCCCTGGGTGTCAATGGTGATCACCCTGTGACCCTCGCTGTTAGGCAAGTGCCGGAGGGGGAAAGTAAGTCACATAGGAGACAGGGGCCAGAGGACTCCGGCCCTGGAGGGATCCAAATCCACAGCCCCTGCCTCCAAGGACAGTGCCCTAACCACCAGACTACCAATGAGACCCGAGTAACTTAGCCTGGTGCTAGCAGTGCCCCCAAGCCCTATCTGGGCATTCACCCTGGTAGCTGGTGCCTGCAAGGGGATGTTGCTGCTATCCTCATGTTCTCACAGATATTGCCAAGAGTCATCAACTCAGAGACCCTTGCATAGCCTAAGGAAATAAAACTCGCAGCGAGTGTGCATACCGTGATCTGCCGCTGGGATGCAAACTCGGGGTAGAATAGCATATCAGAGCTACCCTCTGGCATCTGGAAAAGTCCTTTTGGAGTGGGGAACACCGCAAACTTGTTCTGTTTCCTGCACCGGGCTGATAATCTACTTAGGAAAAACAGGGGTGGGACTCTATCAGGTGCCCAGCATTTCCCAGCAGCAGTGGGTGCTCAGGCCACTTGTGTAAGCGCCTGGCTGTGGATTCAGTGGCCTGGCATTAGGTGCTGGAGTTTGAAACTCAGAGCCTCTTTGTCCGCTGAGGGTGCAAATTGTCATTCGGAGAGTGGGAGGTCCTCACGCCCACCAAGGCTTAGTATGGCACCTGGCACAAGTACTTTCCATACCCCAGCAATGAGCCCCACGCATGGGAGGGAAGATCCTGATGGCCCCTCCAGGGGAAGGAGAACAGGTTGGGGGTGCAGGGGATGCTCTGGAGGGAGATGTAACACAGGGACCTGCTCCCCTGCAACTCGGTCTGTGCTGCTGCAGAATTGGGGTAAGGGAGAGATGAAGACCAGGCCAGTGGGTCCGAGCAGTCAAAGGGGAGCCTGGGCCCATTGGCCAGGAGGCTGCAAAAGGGCTCGTGCACCCTGAGCTGCCTTGGCCAGCCTCCGTGGAGGTGCAACCTTTTCCTGAGGAGGTGCGCCTCACGCACGCCAGGGGCCTTTTGCAACCCTCACCCCCATGTGGACCCCGTTGATGCAAAAGGGGTCATTCGGGCTCTCAAAATCTGGGTGACAAGGTCGGGGCCTCAAGCCCTGTGAGGCATCTCCACTGCACATGCCTGTCTGAGCCCCCGTGGGAGGTGGGACTGCACTCGGACACCCATTTTGCAGAACAGGGCCAGAGGCACAGAGCCCCAGGTCCTTGCGGGGAAGCAGGCACCCAACTCCTCCTGCTCTACAAGCCAGTGGGAGTGAGGCACCTACACCAGGGTGCTGAGGGAATTGGCAGGGGTTATCGCGGGGCCCCTGGCACAGCTTTAGGAGCACTCGTGGTGCTCTGGCATGGGTTCATCAAAGGCAGGTCCTGTCAGACCAACCTGGTGGCCTTCTATGATCAGGTCACAAAATCACTGGATGCAGGTGTCGCGGTGGACGTAGTCTTTCTGGACTTCAGGAAGGCTTTTGACACTGTCTCTCACCCCATTCTCATTAAAAAGCTAGGTGACTGCGGCATTGATGCCTGCACAGTCAGATGGGCTGCAAATCGGCTGGAGGGCCGCACCCAGAGAGTGGTGGTGGATGGGTCATATTCAACTTGGAGGGAAGTGGGCAGTGGGGTGCCCCAGGGCTCGGTCCTCGGGCCCACACTGTTTAATCTCTTTATTAGCGACTTGGACAAGGGGGTGCAAAGCACCCTGTTTAAATTCACTGACAACACCAAGATTTGGGGCGAGGTGGACACACTAGAAGGGAGGGACAGGATACAGCTGGACCTGGACAGGTTACAGGGGTGGGCAAATGGGAAAAGGCTGGGATTCAGTACTGACAAGTGCAAGGTGCTGCACTTCTGTAGTAAGAACCAGCAGCAGACCTACAAGCTGGGGAACTCCCCTCTCGAAAGCACGGTGGCAGAAAGGGATCTTGGAGTCATTATCGATTCCAAGATGAGGTGATCCTCCCCCTCTACGCAACACTGGTCAGGCCGCACTTCAGGAGGGATGTGGCCAGCATCAAGATGGTCCAGAGGAGGGCCACCCGTATGATCCGGGGACAGCAGGGCAGACCCTACGAGGAGAGGCTACAGGACCTTAACCTGTTCAGCCTTCACAAGAAAAGGCTGAGGGGGGACCTGGTGGCCATCTATAAACTTACTAGGGGGGGACCAGCGGGGAATGGGAGAGTCCTTGTTCCCCTGAGCACCTCCCAGAGTAACAAGGAACAATGGCCATAAGTTGAGGGAGAGTAGATTCAGACTGGACATCAGGAGGCGCTACTTCACTGTCAGGGCGGCTAGGATCAGGAACCACCTTCCAAGGGAAGTGGTGCTGGCTCCTGCCCTGGGGGTCTGTAAGAGGGGGCTTGACGTTTACCTGGCTGGGGTCACATGAGCCCAGTTTTCTCTCCTGCCCAGGGCAGGGGGTCGGGCTAGAAGATCTGCAAGGTCCCTTCAGACCCTATATCTATGAATCTACACACCCTGGAGGTCTAAGCCTGAGGGGATGGGCCAAGGCCACCCAGGAAAGTCTGCCATGGAGCTGGGAATTGACTTTCAGCCTCCCGCAGGCTCTACAGTTGCCCTAACCATGGGACTCCCCGCAGGGGCAGCATCCAAGACTTGCTAATGGTCGTGCAACCACCAAGGGTGGCATGAGACCCAGACTCCTAACGCTATGCCACAACCACTGGGCAGTGCTGCTTCCAGCCTGGGCAGGAGCCCAGGTATGTGCTCCGTGGTGCACATGAATGAATCCCCTGAGGATTGCTAACCTGCCTTTTGTCACCTTCTGTCTTCAGAGCCAGCTTTCCCAGGCGCTGAATGGGTTGTCTGACAGAGCCAAGGAAGCGAAAGAGTTCCTGGTGCAGCTGCGAAACATGGTTCAGCAAATCCAGGTACGGTCCCGTCCCATCCTGACAGGGAAACACCCTCCACACATGCCCTGGGCACGTCGATATGCCCTGACAGTGGCCTCTTCTGCTTTGGCTTTGTGACTTTCCTGACCAAATGCACAGAGCCTGCCCCTTCAGTGCCACCTTCTGCAGCCCTCCGCTGTGCCCGTGCTGCCCGATAGCTGCTGGGCTGGCCTTGCTGCTCACCTCCGCTCTCTGGGGTTGTTCAGCCAGCAAGGAGCAGCTCCCCCAGCCAGGCTCCCAAGCCCCCAGCCTGGGCATGGAGCAATGCTGACTCCAGGTGCCAGTTTGGGGTCTGGCGTAGGGTCTGGTGTCCTCAGGACAGCTGATGACCCAGTGGGGGAAGTCACTGCTTAGAAGACGCTTTCTTCCAGCCTCTCCGGCCGAGTGGAGCCGCATCAGTGAGTCAGTCTGGTTTGTAAGCTGTGGCACGTTTGCCTTCAGCCTGCCATGCTGCCTCGTTTCCCCTGAGAGGGGTTCATAGTGCAGATAAAAGCAAGCCACTTGGCACAGGTCTATGCAGCTTTCCTCCTGCCTCCGATAAAATAAGCCCCTTCCACTCACTTCCACTGGGTGCACTGGAGACCCGCTGTTTGGTAAAGTAGGAGTTTGGGGAGCCGTCCCGGGTGGCTCAGAGCATTAGGAGCACCCCCTTCTCCCACCCAGCGGCACTCTCGGGGCTCATCCAAGCCCTGTACCCATCCTCCTGGCAGCCGAGGCTTTATGGCTGCAGCACGATACCTCCTGGCTGCCTTAACCCTTTGCCCCCTGCACTCCTGGTTCCTTCCCCTGCCACTGACTGTGTGCCCCACCTGCCATGCCAGCCCGCAGCTAAAGTCACCCCTGCTCTCATAGTATTGCCAGGTCCCAGCCCAGGCAGAGAGCTGCAGATGCAGGAAAAGGACTTCATCTCCTCCCGACCCCCTTTGTGCACTGAACCCCAGACCAGAAGCCCTGCCCAGAGACCTAAAAAAACCTGGATGCTACTTATTCACCTCCAGGATAAATGTGGGTGGACAGAGCGTGGACCTAGTCATTCCTCTCAAGCTTACTCCTTGTAGCACCTTGGTTCATAGTGGGACCAGCACAGTCAGGCTCTTCTGAGCATCAAGATTTGCCATCCCCTGCAGGAGTCAGTGCTTGTGCCATTACACAGGCCCTACTAGCAGGGGCCAGATCCTTTTGCATTGAGCAGTCACACCTTACTCAGGCCAAAGCCTACAGGGATTCCTGGGAGCGTTGCCCGAGTGTGGATTGCTGGATTTGGCCCTGGGTTTGTGTGATAGGTGAAAGGCCCATTTCTCCCATGGGGAACTGCGAGCGGTGATTAGCAGTCCCTCATCCCCTCCCAGGGTCCGGAGCCCCACTCCCCCCCATGGAAAGATGCTGGTCGAACCCCGCAGCTGTGAGCGTGTGCCTTGTCCCACAGGAGAACAGCGTGGAGTTCGAGGCTTGCCTGGTGGCTCAGTGCGACGCCCTCATCGACGCTCTCAACAGGAGGAAAGCCCAGCTGCTGTCCCGCGTCAACAAGGAGCATGAGCACAAGCTGAAGGTGAGTCCCGCGCGTTCCTCCTCGGGGGCCGAGCATTTGACAGCGAGGATGTTCCCCTCAGCTCCTAATGCACCACAGCACAGCCCCGGGTTGTGATGCTTGTTGCAGCGAAGGGGTTACAACTGGTGGCCCAACACCTTGCATTGAGCATTCTCAGTATGAGAGACCCCCATGGGAAAGGCAAATCCTGAAGGAAGCTCTTGGCGCGTCTTTCCCAAGGCTGGCTCCAATTCTTCCAGCTGTGCACACGCGCACGCACACATGCATGTGCTATCATGCCAGCGAGGCTCTGACTAGAAGATGCATTTCAGAGCATTTGCTGAGATGTTGAAATCCAGGGTAGTTCTGCACCGGATCACAACTCAAACCCCGTAGCCGCATTGCTTGAGGTGGGTAGGCAGCAAGGGGGGTGGGCCAGCCACCAGCCTAGCTATGAAAAGCTAAGTGCTGTATCCCAGCATGACCTCAGGTCCTGCTGCAGGAGACACTTAAACCTGGATCTCCCACATCACAGGGCATCCACGCTGGCATGGTTACAAATTGGTCCAGCGTCCATGCGATTTCAGGTGGCCAAAAATGAGCCAAGTACAGCCTGCCCTACAAAGGGTGCTGTGCCCTTCACCCAGTGTTTTCAGTGGGCGCAGGTTATACTAGTTATTGGTCACTTTTCTGCAGTGCCATGAGTGCACAGGGCCTAATGGAGCCACAGACTGTAGGATGGCATGGCTCTTTTCCTGACTAGCTTAGGATCCTGAACTTGCAAGGCAGTGAGTTCAGGCATTGAACCTGCACGGCAAGGCAGGGAGTACCCTCAGCTTCTGTTAACATCAGCCGGAGCTGAGAGCACCTAGCATCTTGTCAGATTATCCCACAGCATGGACGTGCTACTAAGAAGAATGGAGCAGGAGGAGAACTGGGGTTGTGTTGGCTGTGCCTGGCACACAGTGACAGGGTTTGTTACCCTGCACGAGAGACCAGGACTAGGATTGCAAACAGCAGCCAAATGAAAGGTCCCTTAAGGGCCAACCGACTGACTGTTTCTGGCTTCACCAGCTGTGAAAACTGAAAATACAGAGGAGAGTCACTGCAGGCTGGGAAGTGAGAAGGTAAAGGGCTTCTTGGGTGCGTGCTCCCTGTGGTGCAGGGTTTTGGGTTAGGGTTAGGGTTCGGGGGACCTGAAGACCTGCATGGGGTGTTCGTGCCCATGGATGATTGAGGACTGAAGTTGGAGGTTATTCAGGGTATGGCTTGAGATTGGGCTGCAGCCTTGTGGGCTGATTCCTGTTCCTGTCCAAGGACCTGGAGCAGGATTCAGAAGAGACCCTATGTCGGCTGACAGGTTAGTACAGCTTGTCTGATAGAGCCAAGCCCCTGAGGGGCTACAGCAGTGGTTCTCAACCTTGTTCGACTCAAGGTCCCCTCATTAGATTCAAGGCCCCCCACTTGGAAAATGCCAGCTCCTAGCTTCCACTTTATTCCACTTGATCTGCTGGGACAAGGGAGGTGCAGCTCTCTCTGGCGGGTCTAACCGCGTCTCAGCAGACTCCCAGCAGTCCCTCTGAAGCGAGCCCCCAAGGCCCAGACGTCCTTGGCTGCAATGTTAAGGTGTAACTATGTTCTGCTGAGCTTTCAGGACCCATTATTTGAATGTCCTTCAGTGAGTCAGCTTCAACCAAATAATGGGGAAGGTCTCTTGTGTCCTCTCTCTCTCCACCTGGATTTGGCCCCTGGCACTTCCCCTTGCCACTGGCATGGCGTCTTACTTGTTTTGGCCTCTTCTCGGCATGTATCAAATGCAGCTATCCTGTGCTGGGAGCTGAGTCAGCCTCCAGGCATTGCCATTAGTCTCATGTTTGCCTTCGACGTGCAGCGAACAGACTCTCTAGCTTATGGGAACCTCAGACCTCTGCATCCTACGGTTCATGTCTTTGCAAGGGCACTGTCATGTGGCCTGCCACACTCGCACCCCTTCCCTCTTGCTCACAGAGACATCGTGCCTTCATCTCTGCCTTTCAGTCACCACCTCCTTTGTTCTTCAGTCTCGGTCTCTCCTCCAAGATCAGGTCACTTGCTTTGTCCTCTGGGAGATAGGAGTTTAAATGCAAAACTGCATGGTGCTGGGGCAGGGCTGCCTGCTGGGAAAGGTGTGAGCAAAGGCCCTGGCCAAATGTAGGGCCCATTGAAGTCCCAGGGGTGTCAGACAATAAGGGCTTTGTGAGCGGGGTTGCCTGTTCCCTTTCTTTCGCACACCCACGCTGCGATCGGTGCTGTGGCATTGTAGCTAGTGGTACCCCGCCACGCATCAGCTCCTCACAGGCTGCCAGCCTGCCTTCTCATTTAGAAAAGACCAGCACCACCCACCAAGGTCTTTTTCAGACCGGGGTGGGGGGGGGTCAGGGTTCATTAAAATCTCACAAAGCAACACCTTTCAAAAGCTACTCCCCTGACCCACCCGAGCTGCGGGAGCCCAGCGGCCTTTCACTTTACAGGCAGCCCTAGGCGGCAGCTTTCTGCCTCTCTGGACCTCCCCTGACCCCTTCCCAGCTGGGCTTGGTACTTGGCCAGGGCCTGATGGCTCCTGGCCGTTAAAGGGATCGCTGTATTACAGCATCTCTGCAATTCCAGCTCAGAGCGCCAGTACTTACGTCCACGTGCACGGATGAAAGTAGCCCCCCTCTGGCATCTCCCCGTTATCATAAAGGATGCCAGGTTTGACAGTCTGGGCCATGGGGTGTCTGTGTGGGATTTGCTCCAGTGCTCGTACCTACATCCTGCACC